TGCGGAACTGCACTAGGTCCCGCAGGGCCCGGATCTCCTCCGGGAGCTCATTCCACCAGGAAGGAGCCGCCACCGAAAACGCCCTAGATCTCGTGTGGGCCAACCTCACCACTCGGGGGCCTGGAACTACCAGACGATGGAACATCCCCGATCTCAGTGCCCTTGAGGGAACATACGGGAGGAGACGGTCCCTTAGATAGGCAGGGCCCTGGCCATTCAGGGCTTTAAAGGTAAGTACCAGCACTTTGAAGCGAATCCGGTATGCTATAGGCAGCCAGTGCAGCGCTTGCAGCACAGGCCGGATGTGGTCTCGCCTGGAAAGACCCATCAACAGCCTGGCTGCAGCATTCTGCACTAGCTGCAGCTTCCGGATTTGCGACAGAGGCAGCCCTAAGTAGAGAGCGTTACAGTAGTCCAGCCTCGAGGTGACCGTCGCATGGATCACAGTGGCCAGGTCGTCTCGGTCGAGATAGGGAGCCAACTGCCGTGCCAGCCGCAGATGATAAAAGGCTGACTTGGCAGTGGCCGCTACCTGGGCCTCCATCGTTAACGAGGAGTCCAGGAGCACACCCAAACTCCTAACCTCCCGCACGGGCACCAATGGTACCCCACCGAAGGCCGGGAGAGGGTGCCCCAACTCGTAACCGCTTCGACACAGGCCCAGGACCTCCGTCTTTGCCGGGTTTAGTTTCAACCGATCCGTCTGAGCCAACCAGCCACGGCCTGCAACACCCGCACTAGGTCATCGGGAGTGGAGTCTGACTGGCCGCCCAACATCAGATAGAGCTGGGTGTCATCGGCATATTGATGACACCCAAGCCCACACCTCTGGGCAATCTGGGCAAGGGGGCGCATGTAGATGTTAAACAACATCGGAGATAACACGGCCCCTTGGGGCACACCACATTCAAGGGGGTGCCTTCGGGACCGCTGATCTCCTATCGCCACCCTCTGTCCCCGACCTTGGAGAAAAGAGGCAAGCCATTGAAGGGCACGCCCCTGAATCCCCACGTCGGCGAGGCGGTGAGCCAGCAACCGGTGGTCGACCATGTCGAACGCGGCCGACAGATCTAACAACACCAGTGCCGCCACACCGCCCCGATCCAGGTGCCTACGGAGATCGTCAGTCAGGATTCCTCTCTATTTAAGGCTACTTCTCACAGTCCATTACTTTTTTTAAAAAAGAGAAATCTGTGCATACTATGATGTTCCCTTTTGCTTGCAAATCAGGAACAGGGCACTCAATCAGGTTCCTGATCTTGGGTTCACACAGCAGAGACAGGCATGTTCAAAACAACATCCATTTAGTAGAAAGACATTATAGGGATCAGGGGTCGTTTCGTAGAAAAAGACCTAGGGGAACTCATTAGCATAACTCATTAGCATATGCCACACCCCCTGACATCACTAGAAGTGTGTTATGAGGCCACACCCCCTGACATCACTGGAAGTGTGTCATAAGGCCACACACCCCGCCCCCAACAGTCCCGGCTGCCGCTGGCCTTGCAGCTCCACTGCCGAGCCCCATGAGGGGCCCGGCGGTGGACCTACAAGGCTGGCGGGAGTGCAAGGAAGCCCCACAAAGGCCCTCCCTGGCCCCAGGCAGGCAGGGGTGGGGAGAGGCAGGGAGGAAGCAACTTACCCTCCCTCTTCTCCTGCCTCCTCCTGGCGGAATGAGGGCCAGAAGCAGGGTGGCCAGAAGTAGGGGGTGGGGCTTCGTCATGTGCCCCACCCCCCATACCTCACCCGGGGGAACTGCGATCCCCCGCAAACCACTCGAAATGACCTCTGATAGGGATAACTAAGAGCAACTGCTTTCAGCACATGAGCTTTCAGCAGTCTACAATTCTAGCTAACAAACAGAAGTTACAAGCAAGAACTCAGCCCCAGGAGAGCGAACCAACACACAAAAATATTGGGGAGACATTATAATGCATACAATAAATAATGCATACAATAATGCATACAATAAATACACCATAAATACATTTGATTTCACATCTAGTTTGACTCTGCTATTTTATCACATGAACACATGAGAAAACCTGTTTGTAGCAGAGGGAAGATAACTAGGTCCCACTGCTTCTAATTATACCCAGTGTTATTCAGTTCTCTGTAAATGATGGTGCCCAACCTATACTTTTACAAGCAGTGAAGCACCTACTAGAGACATGAAGTCAGACCTTAATTAACTCAAACCTAATGCAATACACTATTGTTTTATTCAAACATAAAAGAAATTAGAGTCAGTACCAAGAAACATTTGAATCTGGCCTATTCTACCCTTCCATAGACCCTCTAATTTGCTCTCTTTCCTCTTCCCTGTTGTGCCCAGCAACATACAAATTATGTCACAAAACATGCAGGAAAGGAAGGTGGTTGAGAGGCCTTTTGGCCTTGATGTATTTGTTACCAAAAAGAAGGAAAGTGAGGATATCAGTTAATCAATGGCAGTTCATAAATACAACAGTGAAAATCTGAATTCTGGTCTGATTATTCCCTTATTTTACCCTATTGTCACATGCTATTCTGGTTCTCTTTTTAGAGGGCCCCACCAAGGGGGGTTGTGTATGTGTGTTTGGTCCTGGCAAGGACCAAGAGAAAGGAGCAGCTGAGCAGAGAAAGTGAGAGACAGAGGCCTAATCTGCATTAGCATTTGCTCTGCTGTTTTACCAAACCCACAGTGGAACAGAAAAAGATGCAGCTCAAATCCACATTCAGATACCCCGGGCCAATGCCATACTGACTGCCAGGGCTATTTTTGGGCCGGAACGCAAAGGAACGGAGTTCCGGCCGGCTTCTAAGCTGGCCACACCCAGCAGGAACTCATTAGCATAATAGGCCACACCCAACAACAGAAACTCATTAGGATTGGCTACATTAGAGGTATGTGGCCTAACATGCAAAGGAGTTCCTGCTACAAAAAAGCCCTGGGTAAACAGAATAAAAAGCAAAAGGTGGGTGTGGCTGGATGAGCACACTTCTGGTAACATGGGGGTGTGGCCTAATAGGCCAATGAGTTGTGCTGTCAGGGGTGTGGCCTAATATGCTAATGAGTTTCTGCTGTTGGGTGTGGCCTATTATGCTAATGAGTTCCTGCTGGGCTTTTTCTACAAAAAAAGCCCTGCTGACTGCAGAGTCACCCCTGAATGGCCATGAAATGGCCATAAATCTATGCAGATGGTTACCATAAAATTGAGAGATCAAATGAAGTGAAAGTGGCATGCAGTCTGGGCACTGCCGTAAAATCTGACAATCAATCAAAGTGGAAATGGCATGCAATGTAGAGGGGAATTTCTGTTCCAGCATGAGTTTGGTAAAATAGCGGAGCAAATGCTAGATGCAGACTGAGCCAGAGAGAGGCAGGCACAATGTTAGGAGTGGATGGAGGGCAGCTAGAAAACACCTGGGTCTGAATCCAAGGGGCTAAGATTAAGGCTGTTGTGGAGGGAAGGCAACGGAAAGCTGCTGGGTTGCAGAGGTGCCTGGGGAGGGGGGGGAAATGTGGGGCTCTGGTGGTTAGATAGAAGGAGAGAAAGTGGACAGCTGGAGCAAAATGGTACAGTGGGATGGTGCAGTGGGATCGTAGCAAAAGTGCCAGTAGAAATCCTGGGAGCAGAATGCAGTGGTAGTGGAGAGAGAGGAAGAGGGGATTCTGTTGTTCTGGTGCTGGAGTGACAGTGGAGATCAGTCTGGAGGAGAGTTTAAACCCACTTTTTGTGGCTGAACTCCTGGACCTTGTATACCTAAACCCCCTCCCCCTTTTTAGGGAAGTCTTGTGACAATTTCAAACTAAATTAACTTTATCTGCTAGTTTCCTGATTCACAGATATTATTTCCTTGCTTAATGTTTGTTTGTGGCAAAACCTGACCATGACATGACTAACACCATGGATGAATATTTGCTTGCAGAGTTGTTTGGGCTCAGGAGATGAG